TTATTGAATTGTCTATGTTGAAATTACTTTTTATGTCATGAGAGATAACTAAGTTATTGAATTATCTAAATCTTTTTTATGTTGAATAATTTTTTTTATGTTTTTTTATGTTATATTACTCAGAATGACATGAATATGCACCAATATGGTAATTTTTTCTTCCTTTAATAAAGATACTAAGAAACTGTTCTGTAATTACGAGAGGATGCTATTAAAATAAGTAGGGAAAACTTCTCTAAATTATTCATTTCAATATATATATATATATATATATATATATATATATATATATATATATATATATATATAATTATTTATTTAAAATATGATTCCAAATCGCGACATAAGAAGTACCATGTTTCAAAACAAGAGCCGAAAACTTCAATATAATTATTTAAATTATTTATGTCGCGATTTGGAATCATATTTTTAAATAAATAATTATATTTATGCTCTACTTTTGTATCGAGCACTATTTTTTAAAAATAATAACTAAAATACTAAGGGACTTTGGATTATTTACCTAACCAGTTCCTTCCTATTTTCTATATATTTTCATAATATATATATATATATATATATATATATATATATATATATATATATATATATATATATATATACAAAGTGGTTCGTACATAGGTTCGCTTTCGACCATAACAGTCGGGTTTGAATTTTAGTATTATTTTAACGCCTTTTAGGGTCAGGGTTAGGATAAAAATGGGCTGTGCATGAAAAACACACCACGTGTCGCCCCGGCCTTGAGAGTGAAATTGAGTGTACGAAACTGTTTGAAAGCTGTCGATGGTTAGTATGGCAGAGACTCACAAGTCAGCGTAACTGAGGCTATGACAATCCTGGCTGGTTATGCACTGTTTTTAAAAATATAAATATGTTTATTTTAATCAAAAATAGACGATTACATTCTTTATACTATATATATATATATATATATATATATATATATATATGTGTGTGTGTGTGTGTGTGTGTGTGTGTGTGTGTGTGTACAGAGAAGAAAGAATAGAGGTTCACAAGCAACACGTGCAAGAAAAGAATCTTCTAGAACAGAACTTAGTTAGATTTAGCTATTTCAACAGTAAAATAATGGGACCTAATTGCCAATCTAGTTGTATGTTTAAATTCAAACGGTCAAGGTGCTAAGATGGAAATCTGGTCAGTACAATTATCATGAAATTATTTGTAGAAAAGACACAAGAAAACCTGTCACTTCGCTGGGAAAATGACTGAAGCCAAGATGCCAGGTCGGGACCAATTACATGACAGACACATTTTGTCGAAAATTTCGAAATATATTACAGAAACACCAGACAAGATATGGCAGCTATATTCAATGCACTGATGAATGGTAGATATATACATGTCTAAAATGGATTCTGACGAGAAAAATTGTCAAACAGTGAATGAACTTTGACTTAATATAGTCAATCCACTTCAAGTCATTGGAAAACGTGAGCAAGATCACATATTTATAATGTACTAGTTTCAACCCGTGATCATTTCATGGTTTTCCTATTTGAATTTTCTCATGAATCTTAATTCTTCAGTTAATGATTGAATAAGCTCATGGCAAGTTCTACGACAATAAAATATCCGTAGAAATTCCCTTATCGCATCGTTAAATATTTGAGCTTAACAACTTTAAGCAAAATAGAAAGACCCGTGATAATTTCACGGTTTTCCTATTTGAATTTTCTGATGAATCTTAATACTTCAGTTAATGACTGAATAAGCTAACGGCGAGTTCTACGACAATAAAATATCCGTAGACATTCCTCTATCACATCGTTAAATATTTCAGAATACCAACTTTATCAAAACTAGAAAGACCCGTGATAATTTCACGGTTTTCCTATTTGAATTTTCTCATGAATCTTAATTCTTCAGTTAATAATTGAATAAGCTCATGGCGAGTTCTACGACAATAAAATAGTAAAATTCCCTATCGCATCGTTAAATATTTCAACTTAAAATATTGCAAAAATAATCACAAATTATGCATTTGAATTTTCTGATTGTTATTCTTTTAATAATTGAATAAGCTCATGGCGAATTCTACGACAGTAAAAATTCCTCTTAAAATTCAACCAAAATTGCAAAAACAAATATGAATGCTTTGTTATTTTAAAAGTGATAATTTTTTTCATTTCACTGAAGCAGACGTTAAACACTTCTATCGTCCCTTCTCTCTTTCTTGGTTTCATTTTCTCACTGAAACCAAGTAGTGTCTTTTCTCTTCTTTCCAAACGTTCAAAACAGAATAGTCTATTATTTATGAGGTATTGGCAGGAGGCGTTAAACTCTTCTCACATCCCCTTCTCTCTATCTCTTTCATTATTTTTTCACTGAAACGAAGTAATGTCTTTTCCTTTCATTTCCTTCTGGGTTCCAACAACAGAGATAATGGTATCGTGACTTTTTTTAACCTAAGAGTATACACATTTTACTTTTATAAAGTTGAGAGCACTACTTTTGAGGACATTCTTTTGTATTCCTTTAAGGCATGAGCTACCGGTAATCCTTTGAATAAAACATTTCTAATCAAACCAAGAGTTTCAACCATAACTAGAATAATTAATGTCTTCATACGCCACGTTTTTTTTTAGATTTGTCTCAAGATTTCTTTGTATTTTGATAGTTATTTGAAGGTCTTCAAAAATTACAATCTGCAGGAATTGCCATCTTAATAAGAAAGCAGATTCTGTTTTTATGATCTTTGATCACGATGTCTGGGCGATTAGCTTTGATTGTTCTGTTTGTGTGCATTGTAAAGACCCGTATATTTGTTACAGGTGCTATCTCTTAACCTGATCTGGTTGGTGTTCATAGCCATTTCTTGCAGTTTCCTTCCTTGAAAGTTTCAGATTTTGCCGGGCAGATATTGGATGCTAATACCGTGAAACCAGAAGCAAAGTGTTCAATTGTTTCTGGTTATCCAAGTAGCTTCATTTAGGGTTTTACACAAAATTTCAGTATGTTTAATTTCTAGTTACCAAGCATTGGTACTGTGCAGTAAGAATAAAGCTTCTGATACAACCACTGATGGGTATGGGGTATGTCTTCACCAGGCTGTTTGATACATATTATTGTCCATTATTATTCTTATTAAAATGCGACAATTCAAGTACATATTTACTGTTGTCCTTATTTTTATTGCCATATGACGTTTTGGCCCTTGTAAGCACCGATTTCGAACTGAACCCTTATTTCGGCCACCGGTGTATACAGTTTTAGTTCCACGTGTCATGACTCTCCCAGATGTGTCAATTATTTCACTTTAACTCAATTCTCCGAGTTTTTGTTCACCACTGCAGTAGCCAGGTATTGAACTCACAACTCTTTAGGTCAAGTCACTGAATTAAACCAACGCTTTTATCCACTAGGCCATGTATCCCTGAGTACATCAGTGTATGAATTTTTGGGACGCATAAATTTCATGTTTCAGCAACCATTTCTTTACCAGAGCTCATATTGCAATTTTGTTGTTCTTCATTGCTTTTCTCTAGCCCTCTGTATTAATGGTTCCCATATTGTATTCATTTCTATGGTTGGTCGGCTCAGGAGATTTTTGTGGCTCAGCATATGTGCAGATTCCTTAAGTTTTCATATTTTTCCAGTGATGTTCTCTGTCTGTTATTTAATTATTTCTTTAATAAAAATATTTGGAAAATGAATAATCTTAGAATAAATAAGCTTCGAACGTTTATACGTGTTTTTTTTTTATTTGACGCCATTCTGCGAAATGCCAGTATGCACCTTCCTAAAATCGAAACCGCTACTGCTAGGCAAGCCATCATATTCAACCAATGTAGCTCTACATTCATCACTAAATGTACTCTTGAAAAGAAAATCACTTATATACGATATCTGATCAAAAAGTATCAGGACAGTTGCTAAAAATATTATTAGACAGAATAAAACCGCTGGGCACAGATTGACCGGGAACACACTTTCGCGCAGACACATTAAGTTATAACGTTCTCAATCGCTTCCTTTGTTTATAGCAGGACTTTGAAGACAGATGTGTAGAGTGTGGTAGTCTCACCACACGCAAGAGTTTCCATCAGTGACCATAGCTTGTGCGGGTGTTTTTGACCAAGGACAACATTCCCCAGTTCTGACAACCAACATATTCCCCAGATCTCGTCCTCTGCAACATTTTCCTCTGCAAAAATAATATCACGCTTGAGAGGAACAAGATTTGAAGACGTCGAGGAAATTTGTGAATGCGACAAGGGAGCCCGTCGCTATCCTCACAAAACAAGTTCCTGGGCACCAGCAATGGAAAAGAAGTTATACATTTTTGAAAAAAAATTATTACCAGCAATACTTTTTTGAAGGAAAAATATTACCAGAAATAGATTTTTTGACAAAACAAAATATGACCAGCAATAAAAATTTCGTTGACATTAAATAACCCAACGAGGTTGATATCCTGTAAAACAAAACAAACCGAACCAAATCTATCTATCTATCTATCTATCTATCTATCTATCTATCTATCTATGTCTGTCTTTCCCCTCTCTCTTTCTGTATCTATCTTTAACTGTCCCTATTTCTTTCTATCTCAGTCTGTTTCTCTCTATCTCCGTCTCTCATCTCCCTCTTTCTCTCTATGTTCACTCTCTCTCTCTCTATCTATCGCTCTCTCTATCTTTCTCTCTATGTTACTCTCTCCTACGTATCTGTATGTTCATTATCTATCTATCTATCTATCTATCTATCTATCTATCTATTCCAGTCTGCTTATCTATCTATCTATCTATCTATCTATCTATCTATCTATCTATCTATAACAGTCTCTTTCTCTATTTCTTTGTATGTATTTCTTTCTCTCTATTTATCTCCGTCTCTCACCTCTCTATGTATCTCTATGTTCACTATCTCTCTCTCTCTTTCTCTCTAACTATCTATCTATCTATCACTCGCTCTCTTTCTCTCTGTGTCACTCTCTCCTACGTATCTGTATGTTCATTATCTATCTATCTATCTATCTATCTATCTATCTATCTATCTATCTATCCCCCTCTCACTCTCTGCATTGCTTGCATATGCGTGTGCGCACGTATGTTTTGCTTTCGAAGGTCTGTTTAGTTTTCCTTTCTAAAAATGTCCTTCCCTAAATTTTTTCTTTATTTCCTGATTGCAAACCAGTTTCTTTTTTTTTCTATTAAAAAACGCAAAAGCCATCAATTTCGCTTGGTCCTCGCGTAAACAATATTTTGCCATCTTTTTTTCCATTCGTTTTTATTCCTTGTCAAAAATATTTTGGAACAACGCCCTTCTTTTTTTTTTTTCTCTTTTATCGGCGATTCATCATCAAGATTCATCAAGTAGAATTTCTTTTCTTTCTTTTTTCTTTTCTGTCTTTCTTTTCCTCTTCCATTTTATCTTTCCTTTTTCTAATCCTTTCTTCATTTTCTTTCTTTGTTCTTTTTCTCCTTTCTTTCATTCTTTCTATCTCTTCCTTTCCCGTTTTTATTTTCTTCATCTTTCTTTTTTTTTTCTTTTGTTCTTTTGCCTTCTCTTTGCTCTCCTGTGTATTTTTCTTTCGCTTTTTTTCCCCTCTTTTTTCCTTCGTCTATCCTGTTTCCTTTTCTCTATTCCTTCGTTCTCTTTCCTTCTCTTTAGTTTGCTTAGTCTCTTTTCATTCTCATTCTTCTCTGTACTTTGACTTCTTCCTTTCTTTTCCTTATCTTTCTCTTTTCCTCCCTTCCTTCCTTCTTTCTTTTTTCTATTCCATCTTTTTTTCTTTCTGCCTATTTCTCTTTTCTTTCTTTCTTTCTTTCTTTTCCTTTATTTCTATTTTCATCTTTCTTTCTTTCTTCCTTTCTTTCTTTCTTTTTTCTTTCTTTCTTTCTTTCTTTCTTTTTTTCTTTCCTTCTTCTTCCTTTCTTTCTTTCCCTTTATTTCTATTTTCATCTTTCTTTCTTTTTGCCAATTTCTCTTTTCCTTCCTTCTTTCTTTTTTCTATTCCATGTTTTTTCTTTCTGCCTATTTCTTTTTCCTTTCTTTCTTTCTTTCTTTCTATTTACATCTTTCTTTCTTTCTTTCTTTCTTTCTTTCTTTCTTTCTTTCTTTCTTTCTCTTTTCCTTCCATCCTTCCTTCCTTCCTTCCTTCCTTCCTTCCTTCCTTTTTCTTTCTACCTATTTCTCTTTTCTTTCTTTCTTTCTTTCTTTCTTTCTTTCTTTCTTTCTTTCTTTCTTTCTATTTTCATCTTTCTTTCTTTCTTTCTGCCTATTTCTCTTTTCCTTCCTTCCTTCCTTCCTTCGTTCCTTCCTTTTTTAATTTTTTTCTTTCTGCCTATTTCCTTTCATCCATCTTTCTTTCATTCTTTCTTTCTCTTTTCCTTCCTTCCTTCCTTCCTTCCTTTTTCTTTCTACCTATTTCTCTTTTCTTTCTACCTATTTCTCTTTTCTTTCTTTCTTTCTTTCTTTCTATTTTCATCTTTCTTTCTTTCTTTCTTTCTTTCTTTCTTTCTTTCTTTCTTTCTTTCTTTCTTTCTTTCTCTTTTCCTTCCTTCCTTCCTTCCTTCCTTCCTTCCTTCCTTCTTTTTTTTAATTTTTTCTTTCTGCCTATTTCTCTTTTCTTTCTTTCTTTCTTTCTTTCTTTCTTTATTTTCATATTTATTTTTTTCTATTCGATCTTTCTTTCTTTTTACCTATTTCTTTTTTCTTCCTTCCTTCCTTCCTTCCTTCCTTCCTTCCTTCCTTATTTTTTCTATTACATCTTTTTTCTTTCTGCATATATCTCTTTCTTTCTTTCTTTCTTTTTATCTCTATTTTCATCTTCCTTCCTTTCTTTTTTCTTTCTTTCTTTCTATTCTATCTTTCTTTCTTTTTGCTTATTTCTCTTTTCCTCCCTTCTTTCCTTTCTTCTTTTTTTCTATTCCATCTTTTTCTTTCTGCCTATTTCTCTTTTCTTTCTTTCTTTCTTTCTTTCTTTCTATTTTCATATTTCTTTCTTTCTTTCTTTCTTTCTTTCTTTCTTTCTCTTTTCCGTCCTTCCTTCCTTCTTTTTTCTATTCTTTTTTCTTTCTGCCTATTTCTCTTTTCTTTCTATATTTCTTTCTATCTTTTTTTCTTTCTTTCTTTCTTTTTTATCTTTATTTTCATCTTTTATTCTTTCTTTCTTTTTATTCCATCTTTCTTTCTTTTTGCCTATTTCTTTTTTCCTTCCTTCATTTATTTCTTCCTTCCTTTCTTTCTTTCTTTCTTTCTTCCTTCCTTTCTGTTTTTTATTCTATCTTTTTTCTTTCTGCCTATTTCTCTTTTCTTTCTATATTTCTTTTTTTGTTTCCCTTTATTTCTATTTTCATATTTCTTTCTTTCGTTTCCTCTTTATCATTTCTTTTCTTTTGTCCTTTTCCTTCTTTTTCTTTTCCTACTTTCTTTTTCATTTTCTTTCCCCTTCTTTGTTTCTTTTTTCTCTTTCTATTTCTTCTTACTTTTCTTCATCATTCCCTTCCTTCTTTTCCTTTTTCTCTTTCTCTGAGTATGTCGCAATCCTCATAAATACCTTGGACTCTATTGTATGTAAAGGGTAATATGGTGTCTATGTAGTCCACCACTAGCAGTGGTTTACCTACTTCAGGCCACTGGCGAGTATTTTATTTTGTTGATGTTATAAAGATTAGCATTTCATTGGTTATTCCCCATTCAGTAACCTTTTCTAGATTACAACACTTCTTTTTTCTTCTCTTTATTTTCCTGAGTTCTTTTCATTGTTATTTAATTTTTCTTGTGTTTGAACAAGTGTTTCTTTTTTCTGGACACAGAGTGTAGAATCTGTTTAAATGTTCCGTAATTCCGAGCACTTTCGGGTATATTAGATGTTAATATTAGTTCATTTTTGCGTAATTTAGACAACAATTCAATTTATCAATCCTTCCATATACATACATATATATATATATATATATATATATATATATATATATATATATATATATACAGATAAATATAAATATATATATATTTGCATATATATATATATATATATATATATATATACCTAGTGAGCCAGACAACCCTACCTAGGTTTCACCTAAACGGATCGTCAGGGAAAGTGGCTTTTGTATTGACCTCTTTTTAGTTAGTTGTTTACTCGTGTCGGGTTTTTTTTCTTTGGGCTTCAAACCTGCATCTGTGCGATTTTTTTCGACAGACTTTCATGTTTGTAGCTCTTTCTTTTTTTTAAACCTTTTTTTACCTCGAGATTGATTTGATTATTGGCAAATCAAAAATTCGAGGGTTTATCGAAACGAGTATAGTTATATATATATATATATATATATATATATATATATATAATTTAAATAAAAACAGACCACTTTAAGGTTCCATGTAATAAATTATTTCACCACAGCCCTTTTAAAGCACTGCGGATCATCAGACTTTACTTCCAAAAAAAAAAACAAAAAGAAAGAAAAAAAAAGCTCCTTAGAAACAAAAGAAAAGGCTCCTTGAGTCTACCCATACGGATTACCTAGTTTTTAATAACCTATATATATATATATATATATAGTGTAACCCGGATATAAGAGACCCGGATATAAGAGAAACCTGGATATAAGAGAGATTTTCTCTGGTCCCAAATTAGAGCCTGTGTTAATGTATATAAAATAGACCAAACCCGGATATAAGAGAAAGGCGGATATAAGAGACTTCTTCTCTGGTCCCGACAACTCTCTTATATCCGGGTTACACTGTATATATATATATATGTATAAATATATATAATTGCTACATAGACTTGTATATATATGAATTCGCATACAACCCATATATATTTATACATACGTGTTATAGATGGGTATTCTTTAATTAGAAAAGGCGTGTAAAAAAGAAAAACGAAGGGAGAAAGACGAAGAAAGCGAGAGACTGTGACGAAGACAGAGAGAGAGAGAGAGAGAGAGAGAGAGAGAGAGAGAGAGAGAGATTAGAGCGCTTATATAATCTATCAAAGCATCGTAGACTAGCTCAGCACCGGGACCATTAATTGGTTTTACCTCTTACCGATTCCGTGTCGCTGAAATTTCAAAAGGAGATCTTTGACCGAGGCAAATCCGGGCTCTTTTGAAAGATGCGACCAATGGCTGTCATTACTTCCCAGAAAACCGTTTGCAAATAATATAAAGGGGAAGTAACCAATTTCTCTTGCGACATAATTCTTCTTGCTGACACCAGAGGTCTCTGGCGGTTGTCACCGTAGTTCGAACAACAACAACAAAAACAAGCCTCTTGACATATTCTGCACCCTCCTCAGCATTCTCGTCGATTTAATATCTTCAAACGCAAGATTTTATTATTATTATTATTATTATTTTAACAAGGTCAGAAATGATTTCATGATTTCTACTTCAAGATCACTGAATAATTATGTAAAAATAAAATAAAATAAAATGCAACCTAAGATCACACATATTTTACAAGCCCTTCTTAATGTGTGAGCTGTACTTGTGAGTACATTTTTTTTGTATTCCTTCCTTCCTTCCTTTCTTCCTTCTTTTTTTCTATTCTATCTTTTTTCTTTCTACCTAGTTCTCTTTTCTTTCTTTCTTTCTTTCTTTCTTTCTTTCTTTCTTTCTATTTTCATATTTCTTTCTTTCGTTTCCTTTTTTCATTTCTTTTCTTTTGTCCTTTTCATTCTCTTTCTTTTCCTGCTTTCTTTTTCATTTTCTTTCCCCTTCTTTGTTTCTTATATATATATAACTAGCGGTAGATCCCGGCGTTGTCCGGGGATGTAACAGTAAGAGATAGATCAAGTATCGACCATCATAAAGACTGAAAAATA